GAGGAGAGAAGAGTTTGCGAGAAAAGCAGAGATTCCGAAAAAGGCAGATATTTCGAGAAATCCACAACCTGTCGTGACGAAGAAAGAAGATGTTTCGAAGAGGGAAGAGGTTCCAAGGAGAGAAGAGGACCCGAGAAAAGTAGAGATTCCGAAAAAGACTGAGATTCCAAACAATCCTCACCTTCTCGCGCCTACCGCACACATCACCAATCCATGCAAGAGGAAGGAAGAATATGATAGAAGTAAAACAACGTATCCGATCCGTTCAGGCGCACCGTCGAGGAATTCTTCGAGGAATCACTCATATGTTAGCATAAGGTACAAAGAGCGACCTATGATAAATCATGACGACATGAACTCGATGTCGTCAGCCGCTAGCGTGAACTCGTCGGTGTGGTTTAATCCGGAGTTTTACAAAAATCCGCACGCATTCGTGAGATTCACGAGATCGGTGAGCGAGCGAAGGACCAGGCACAAGGATACCGCGGGGAAGCTGCAGCAAGTAGTCGAGATGCCTAAGCACCTGATCAAAGAGGACAGCATCTTCCGTAAAGTCAGCGATTATATATGCGCCTTGCAGAAGACGAGATTCCAGAATTACGGGCTCGTGGATTGCGTTCCGGCCGGAAGTTCAACAGAATGTAACTCTCAAGAGAAGCTGTCCTCGTATCTCGACATAGAAATTGGCGAGAAAAGTAGCCATCGTCAAAGTTTGGCCAGCGTTTACAAGGAGAGGCCGGTGTCCTGGGCCAGCAAGATGGACGAATTGCAGCAAAACAAACGTCTGGTGTACGATATAGCGACCAAGCAGTTTACTGAGAACAAGGAGAACGCCGTGTGCAATACGCACTCCACCGTGGAGGCTTTGGCGAAGCCTAAAAAGTCGAAAAAATTCTTCCTATTTTGTTAGAGCATTTATGATACTATTGATAAATACGGTAGCGTCTAGAACAGACATGGCCGATCTACGATCCGCGACAGTCTTAAAAATAAAAAATTAAGGAAGGAAAAGAGCCTAAAGCTAGCTTTAATTTAACATTAAAACCAGTTTTAGTATTTCTTCTTAGAATAAGGAACAAATTTTAATATTTTTAAGACTGTTTCGGGCCCGCGAAGAGCTTGAAAATTTAGAATGCGACTCGAAAGAGGTTGGCCATGCCTGGTCTAGAACGAGTCTATTGGGTGATAACACGAGGACTGGTTCTACGCTTATCGTTTCCGAGTTTGACAAGAATCTTCGGACGATGCGACGATCTCAATTTAGTATAATGTAAATTTAATGTGAGTTGTACAGTTGTAAGTTTGTATATACATTGATTTCATTATGTTAACAGGGTAATTCTCACTCTCCGTTTTTGACGAAAATTTTATAAAGAACAGACCAATTTCTCCACACGTCACGCGTATTGTCGCACCCACGTCGTCAACAGCTTTCACGTTTATCTCATTGTAAACAAGAATGAGGATAGACAGATTGCCAAATGCCCATTCTACACCTAGGGATGATCCTACTTGTGGCTCATCCGATACTCGCTTCTATACCTAAAGCTAACCCTACTTACAGCTTATCCGAGGGAGTAGTATAAAGTGTAAAAGGTTTACACTTTGGTTGCTTTCTAATCGTACCAAAGTACAACTACAGTGTACCTTTTACACTTTATACTACTTCCTCGGATAAGCTGTAAGTAGGATTAGCTTTAGGTATAGAAGCGAGTATCGGATGAGCCACAAGTAGGATCATCCCTAGGTGTAGAATGGGCAAAAGGCCCAGGTGGAATCGAGACCACCACACACTTTGCCCCTTACCGACAGCTTTGCCCCTATAATGTGCGAATCTGGACTAAATAGATTTTATCGACAAATTTTGCCTTTTGGTGCGAGTCCAGACAAAATTTAGACAATTCTGTCGATAAAATCGGATATGTTTAGTCGGGACTCGAACCAAAAGTAAATTTGTCGATAAAATCGGATATATTTAGTCCAGACTCGCTCCGGGGGGCAGCGCTGTCGGTAAGGGGCAAAGTGGTGGTCTCGATTTCACTCGCGCCTTTGGCGATCTGTCTATTAATCTGTGCTATTAATCTGTGCCTCGTTTATCAGGTACCGGGAGCCATAATTAGAAGAAGAAGAAGAATTAATCTGTGCCTCAACAGATGTCATTGTCCGAAACGCTTTGTCCAATTACACGAACGTCCCTGGCAATCTTTAGGAACAACATGTTTCAACGACTCGAACATGCTCCGGGCCACCTTACCGGTGAGTTTTGCGACGCACAAATGTTATAAAATCGCGAATCATCATCAACGAAGTTGACGCTGCACCCATTGTTTCGTCGCAACGTAAATAATGATACTGCATTCTTTTCAACAATAACAGCTCAACATAACATCCAGGTGACGTTCACGAAGGCGGTTTCCCCTCCCCTGGTGAAAATAAAAATTGGAGGGTACATCGAATGTAAGGAGAGAGTGACAGAAGCGTAAACGAAAAGTGTGGGAAGCGTAATTTGGAACAGCGAAGCGTAAAAGAAACTTCAACGCTTCTTTTACGCTTTGCTGTTCCAAATTACGCTTCCTACACATTTCGTTTGCGCTTCTGTCACTCTCCCCTTACATTCGATTTACGCTCCAAATTCCATTTTCACCAGGGTCGGGGAGGAGCGTTCGAAAAGTTGACGGTCGCGTGCATTTTTCAGGCGTGCGCGAATTATTTTTACAGTAATCTATATTCCAGAAGATAAACTCTGGCTAGTTTTGAAAACGACAATTTCGAGGATCCCTTTTTGATGTGAAAAAAATGAAAATTCTATAAATTTTCTATATAAAAATATGAAGGAAGGTGATTCTTTAGGAAAACACGGGGTCTGGAAAATGTGCCGAATCCCCATTTCGTTTTGTACTGTTGCACTAGGTATAAGAAAACATATGACGGCCGTAATAAAAATAGCTGTGATAATTTATTAAAATTTCTTGCTATAAATGCACATGGCTTGTTTGGATTCGTTGAGTAATTAGGAAATCGATGGACCGGCTCTCCCGATAAGCTCAGCGCCCACCTCTTTTTTTTATCGCTACCAAGGAGAACCGTTTAAACTCTGGAGATCGCCTTCGCACATTACTACCAATAAATATTTTCGATACTGTGAAGTATCTAGGTCTCGAAGGCACTTAAATAAACTACGGATTGACTTATTCTCTATTACGTATCTAAAAAAATAAACTCGGCTCATAGGCAAATACAGTGTTTTGGCGCGCGATCTTTTTCCAGTCGCGACTTTGAGCGAGAAATTTCAACCTTTCGCGATAGTTGACGAAACTGTCGGAAATCCGTAAAGATTCTTCTCAGACGCGTAGTTTTCCGTCGGAGTAGCGATGAAAGATGTCGTTTCTTATCGAATGTAACGTTGCGTGGCGGTGCGATACGAGTTTCCTATCGCACGCACCATGTCCACCAGCAACATGGTCGAGTTCATCGATCCGATTCACGACGTAAATCTAGACACTAAAAAGTCAGCTTGACACTGATCAATATCTCAGTTTCTTACTTCGCTAAATGATTAAAAAAAAAGCGCATGAGAAGAGTCCCCTGAGTAAAGGCATCTCGAGATCTTCGAGCTTCCCGAGAGATCGTGGTTGCGCTGAATCTGAAGAGAATTCAGCCGTGGAGCTTTGTACTTGCGGGAACCCAAAGATCGGTCCCCTAACTTCGCTGAGGATGTAACGGGCTGGTCTCGCTCACGTTGGTCGGTTGTACTATCGTCGACGGCGTAGTCGACGTGAAGGCGTTGGAGACGGCCTCGGCGATGCTGTCGGTTACTTTGTCGATCGCCTCCGTGACGATATCGTGCTCGTGCTCGTGCTCGTGATCGTGATCATGATCGTGATCGAGTTGCTCCATATGCGTGTGGTTGTGCGAATGTCCGTGTCCGTGGCCACCGTGTGAGTGGGAATGGGCAGCTGTAGACAGAAAGCGTGGATGTTTGAGATTTCGTACGATTTTTAAAGCGCGGACCGGACTGCTCGCGAGATCCGTGAAAGGAACTAACGTTAATTTACGTTGCAAAGTTACTCCCCCACGTGTGAAAATAAGGAATTAAATTAAACTGTTTGCGACAAAAGTTGTTCATATTAATTAGTAGAATAAGATACTATAATAAACAATAGGGGGTTCCATTAAAAAAATTGAAGGTCACCTTGAAATCTTCGAAGCGCCTCCACTTTTTGAAAAAATATTACTAACGTGTTATGGCTCCCTTGATGTAGTACAACTTAATTATAATTTTTGCATATCTCTAAAAGTAGCAGAGATACTGGACCTTTGGTTTAGGTTCTTATCAAGTGGGATCTTATTACGGAGTTATGTCAAACATACTAACGTCCGGAGCCGAGGGATGTAAGACCAAGACCGCAGTGAAATTGTACTCTTAATACGGAACTCCATTCCGCTAAAATGCGTTTTTACTTGTATTTGACATGACTCCTTAACAAAGGTCAAAACGTTGTGAAAGCATATTTAATACATGTGGCCAGCTGAAGTCGAAAAGACACGTGTTTGTGAATTTATTGCAATTTTTTTAAAATATATTTTTACGGGATGATTCGATAAGTGTAAGAAATTAGGTTTTATTAGCTATCATCGTGCGAAAGAGAGAGGTCGGTCCCTCGCGAAGCACAGTAATATTTTACTGAACTCAACTATCAGCGGAAAGTATTTAATCAACGCTAACGACGCGGTTCGTACGACGATACAGCGAGCGTTTTGTTTCAGCCGAATATAAGGAAGCTGCTTAATAATCGATCATTTCAATAATCACCTCGAGTAGCCTTATTAGTTATCTGAGCTAATAGCGTTAGTAACCCAATGAATTATACAAGTCACCTTGCAATGTTATATTTCGCGACGAAGTTATAAGTCACAACTTGAGCACGTGTGCGTCCACACGTGCGTTTGATCACGCACCGTCCGTTGCCACTGTCGCTCATCGAACGCTCCGTAAATTAACTTCCACGCGATTTGTGTGTCTGCGCACGAACTTCTCCAAACGGTACTCAGACGCTCGATAATTTCGTCATCACAAAATGCGTCAAACGGTTGAGAAAGCGGTCGAAAGTCGGTCGGATCGTCCATCGACCTACCCGTCCCAGGTCATTGCCATGGGGGGAGAGAAAGCCTTGGGACTATAAACAGGTTCCTTATGAGATCGAGATTCGTCTGCCTGTCGTCAGCGTGACAATGCTCCCGTAGTGCACGTCATTCTAGTACCGCACGTGAAACTCGTGTGTGTCTTGGAAGAAGTGGGTTGTGTCCGTATGCAATTTGCCAATCATATGGCAGCCGACGCGAGTTGTGTAAAAGTTCACGTTTCGTGCAGTTACGAGTGGCAGTAACGAGCTCGTATTTTATGCGGAGTAAATGCTCCAATAAACCGTTTAACAGATAGAGAGCATGTAGTCTAATTCCTTCGTATTATAATATTTTGCTCTATGTACGTATACCCGAAGAAAATGCTTTAATACGTGTTGTAGCGTTGCGTAAGAATTATTTTTTCAACTTGTACTTTTATGATATTGTTTCGTAAGATTAAGATTTGTTAATGCGCGTCTGGCGTATTTCGTCATTCATTGAATTGAAACGGAACATTGCACTTACGGTCCCTCGCGATTTCGCGAATATTTCGCATTCTCGCGAAAAGGTTGGGCTGCAATTAAGATTGCATAACAGGTGACATCCTCAGAAATATGTGTATAACCATTATTACGATCCGTCTCTCCCACCTGTTGTTGCTTTCTCGGCGAAATAACAAGCGTGCAATCTGTTATTGGATGCAAAGTAATATATACAGTATGCGTGCGATTAACCGACTGAAGATCACGTCGGCGATATTATAATTAGGCCTCAATTCAGCTGCTCGAAGGAGCAGGTCGAAAATAGTCGGAATTAATGGAACAAGTTACCGAGCAACTTTTTTTTGAAGAAGTTTTGGAGATGAAACCCTTTCAGCTATTATTACGTCACATATTTAGTAATATTTAATGTTGCATTTTTTACCCTGAAAAAAATGAGAGAAAAAGAGGAGGAAAAGGTCTCGTTGTAGTGACGAAATATCGGGGGGTAAAAATAGAAGCGAACATCCTTGACTATGAAAACAGGAGGGAAGCTTAATCTTAAAATATGAATTCGAGTTAGAAACATTTCAACGATTGGTACGAATAATTTGCACTTCTGTTAGTATCCGCGTCAGTTTGATTAAAGTCATCAACTGCATTCGACTGGAACAACAATCGTGACAAAGTAGCATTAACTATCAAAAGCGGACAGAGTTTATCGGCTGACGTTTCGAGATCAACAAATAATTCAGTTCTACGTACCGGCGTAATCGTATATACATACATATGTATACACATACCTCTCGTACAAGTATCTGTCGATTCGTACTTTCATTTTTAACAGAGTAACGTCTCGATAACATCTATTTTCGCGGCAAGTTCCGAATGAACGAACGAGCGTTGCACGCTACGAGAAGTTCTGCCACGAGGGGTTCTTCTGCTTCTCCCACCCCAATATACCCTGACCCTGACTTTTCAGTTGCACCTCGTCGGTTTAGGGCAAATCGATTAGATTAGATAACCACTGAGGAACCAACAACGTAAAGTGTATCAAGGGCGTACCTGTAACAGGTTTGCACCGGGACAAGCTATTCCGAAAATTGTAACCGCAAGGATATCGAAGATTACGAAATCGTAGCGAGCGATGACGCTCGATCGACATTTCTGTCTCGAGAGGCTGGACATTAAATCGCCAATCTGCATATAAAATATTCTAAAATACCTTAAAGCAATCTAGAAAAATATTTGAATTATTCAGGCTAAATCTGGTCGCTATGAATAATAATGCGCTCATCATGCAAAATCGAATCGAGGAAGTCGTGGAAGAGATAGCTTCCGGTGAACCCTAATGGAGCCGGGATGGACTTTCACCCTGCGGCAATAAATTCGCGCGCCGCGTGATTTCCCGTTTTGACATGCGGAAATTCACCGGTCACGCGAGAAGCACGAGGGAAACGGAAACGCGCAGTAGGCGCGGATACGAAGGACGACGTTAGAGCAATGACGATAATTCATTTATCCGGCATCGGCGGTGTGTCGCGCCGCGATACGCTCTGATGCATTCTAGAGACGCGGGGGACACCCTCGTCTTCCGGGAAACGAACTCACTGGCGATCTGTAGTCCCAGCATCAGCGTGAACCCGATAATGATTGCGACCAGCTGCAGCAAACCGCTCTTCTCGTTCGCTCTCTCTCGCGCCAGCACCTCGAAAAACACCACGTACAGCAGGGTGCCGGCCGCCATGCCCTGGAGTATGGTGGGTGTAGGCCCCAAATTCTCGCTGTCATTCTTGAAATGATCGAGGACAAGTCCCACGGCGATCCCGATCGGCGTAACCATAGAGAAGATTGACAGGTAGCCGAGGGTGGTCCTGGTCGAAGCGCCGGCCACGTAGAGCTCCATACCGACGCAGAAGGAGATGACCAGTTTGTGAGTCGCGATAGCGGCCGCCAAATACGCGACCGAACTGATGGACGGTTCCAGGCCCACCGCCAGACCCTCGAATATCGCGTGGAATGATAACGCGAGTACAGTCAGCAATCCTTGCACCGAGGTGTTTTGCATCATCGCGCCGTACTGATGATGGTCGTGAGGATGATGATGATTGACCGGGTAGCTCAGTTCCGGCATCGCTAGTTCTAAATCGGAATGCTTCTGGGCAGCTTGATGCCCTTCGTTCGTTAACGCGACGGGCAGGACGAATATAGCGGGCAGCACCTTGTTGTCCTTGCTCGCCTCGCGAGAATCGTGGAGTTTCGGCCGGTCTACATCCGTTTGATCCCTGTTGTCCTCGGTGTCGCTGGTGTCTTTCCACGCGGTGGACTTGGTCGTCGTGGACACGGTGGTGATCGAGCCGTTTGACACCATTGACGAACCCGATGGGCCCGTCTGATTGTTGTTGCATCTTCGCACCGACACCGTCCGGTAGAGCAACGCTTCCGAAGATTCGGGTTTGCCGGTAAGGGCAGCGTGCACGGCTTCCTCGACCAAATAGACGAAGAAGAAACCGCCGCAGAAGAGCAGCTCTGCCAGACCGAGGGTACCCAAATCGGGCAGTTGGCCATTCGACTGATGAGTTTCAACGCTAGCGCGCACTTCTGGCGCCAGATGTACGAACGTCGTGAACAGGAGCACGCCGCCGCCGAAGCAGAGCAAGAGCGACGTCAAGAGACCCTGAAGACGATGCCGCGATGCTTTGGGATCCGTTTTAGGATTTATATTCGTTAGATAGAACGCTCGGGTTATCAAGTTTTATAGATTCCTTGACCACTCTGGAATTCACTTTTCATGTAATATAAAATACCGACGTGATATTAATTTACGACAAACAATTGGTCGTTAAAAATTTTGCTTTTTCTACTATAATCAGATGCATAAATGCGACGTTTGCTAAACAGTCAAGACGTCAGCTAAAAGAAATCAAGATTTAATTGATTCCAAATAGTTCAAGGAATCCATAAATGCCATCTATGAAATACCGAGCACCCTGTAATGAGCAGCTACTCCGGACACGTTACGATTAATACATGATCGACCGACATCATTAATGAAGTTGTCATAAACGTCAACTAACATCTTATGCAAGCGGGACCCCCTGTTCTCTTCCTTCCGATCAAATATTATCCGTCTCGACTTTGTGCCGTCTTAGGTGTGTTTAGGATTGCTCATATATTGATATATAATTATAGTAGGTACTTGAAATCAATGAGTCATATGTATACACTCGGTGAAAATAGAACCTAGAACCGACCGATATGCAGGAATTAAAAAAACGGTCTATGTTTAGCGTAAAGACATTTAATAAATATGCAAGAATATCGGTGTCAAGGATATTTTACTGGGTATATTCATTATTTTCCCGCGAATGTGACTTCGTAACGTTGACTCAAGACATGTTCAGACAAGTCGAGACTCGATTTACAATGGGCACAAAGACGAGCCTTCCGGAGAGCTGCGGGAGTGGGCCAGATATTGGCAAATATCGAGGACTTCTGGCCGCTTTTTTCGGACGTACTTGCTTGTTCGACACGGAGGCCGAGTCAATGCTCGGCGAGGACGCCGAAGTGGACGTGGAGGTGCTGGAATGATTGAAGGAGATCGCTTGGCCACGTTTCTGACCAAGTTGTTTCCTGGCCCTGTAACGTCCCACCATCATCGGTAACGTTCCCAGTGCGAGGGAACCGAAGCCGAGACCGACCATCGCGCCGATCTTCGACATCAGAAGAATATTGGACGTCGTCGTGTCCTCCTCCATTTCGTATACCGTTTGGTACCGATAACGAAGATATGATGAAGAAAACCTTGCTTTCTCTCTCTCTCACACACACACACACACTCTCTCTCTCTCTCTCTCTTCTTCTTCTTCTTCTTCTTCTTCTTTCTCGGGGATTTCACAACGCCGGTGTCGAAGCGATCACACGTATCTCGTTAAACATACGCTAGTGAAGTGTCGGGAATAAGAACCGCGCAAGACGCCGATGTCGCGACAAAGTTTACTTCATCATCACTTCACCACCGCTCTCATTTGCGCGTTCCTGTCGACGACGGGATTCATCTCACGAGCTCGCACTTCCTATCGAGAATGTCCCGTTCTCCGATTCTCGAGGACCCTTTCGCGAGGACGATCACGTTCGCGGCGACCCAGTCGGACGAAACTTCGGATCGAGCCTGAGCTTCCTCAATCAGTTGTACCCTACGATTTTGTACGAAGCGAACAATCGCGAACGGCGGAAAGCTCCACGCGGCGCGACGGCCGATCGGACACTACTCCGGTCTCGAGGGGAACTCAGCTCGATCGGACCCCTCGGCCGCCGCCTCGTCGTCTTACATAGTGCGAACCGAACCGTTTCCTGCCCACTCCCGCGAACGCTACGCTTGTCCTTGTCCAACGATCACTTGCTAGCGTGCATACTCTTTCTGGCACCTGCACCACGACTGATCGTCCCTCATTCAGTAGCGTAAGGCCGACGTGGAGTCGCTCTCTTTCTTCGCGTCGGCATGTACGCGAAATCGAAGGAGGGGAAAAAAGGAGAATGCACAGGAACGAAAGTAGAATGGAAAGGAGAAGTTGAAAAAAAACGAGAGAAGGATAGGAAGGATAGGAGAGAACATAAAAATGTAAACACAATAGGAAACAAGGAACTTGACTAAGATGAAGTAAAAAAAAAAGAGGACAAGCAAAGGAGATCGAGGAAGAAAGAAAAGAAGAAAAAGTAAAAGACGCTGAATTTCCGTTTTATCTTTACGGCATTGTTGGGCACGCTAAACATCGGTTACACCGCTGTAACTGATCTGTGCCCGACGAGGAGTAACGCGTAATGCATTTTCCCTCCTTCGCGCAGGCGGCGGACGCGTCGGTGCGTAGGCGCGTGTACAACACACGTGCACGCGTGAATGAGAGGAGTTGGTCGACGACACTCGGAGACGTCGTCGTCTACGTGCTGGGGCACGCGTGCAGACGCAGTCTATTCCACGTTCGCGCCCACAGTGTCATAAATAACATTCGTGCCGCGAATTAGACCGCAAGAGAAATGAATCTCCTCGAGTGCCCGTATAACGAGGACGAGATGAGACTGACGATAAGTAAAAGAACGGAGGAGTAGACACTGACAATTCTCGAGAGATATCAACCCCTTTTGTTTTTCGTAGAGGATTTGCGGTGCAACTTCATAGAAATAAATTTCTCTTAGTCGAGAGAGATTTGTTCAATTTCTATGTTGTGACACGGATGAGAAAATGTAAAAGTAAAGGCGGCACTGCACTCGTCACTTTCAAAGCAAAAGCATGAATTTAGCGATGTGTGCCACTGAGACGATCACGCCTTCGTGATTATTTACCGGCTCTATAGTACTTTCACCCTTTTCGCGCAAAAGCGAAAGGATACCACCCATTGTGTCGGACACTTCATTGAACGTTTTCCTACATATAAAGTTCGAGCAGCCGCGGAATATGTTTCCAATAAGTTGAAGTCAACAACGACAATTACAACGTTCTTCGTCGTTAATTACGCCGATAACGAAATAATCGCGATTCACAATTACGCCATATTTTACTTTTGCGATAGTTTCCATTTTTTTCTTTTACCTCTCATCGATTACTGAGTGATAAGCCCGTACGGGCGAGCGTGAAGGATACGTACGTGCCAAAGAAGTAAAGTAATAAACAATGTAAGTGACTCATATACAAACCGAGTGAACGGAGCGCTTTTTCGTATCGATAATTTTTCTGTCTGCCGGCGAACGACGGTTATCTGCAAGCGGGAAAATTTTTCACGACGAGCAAAATCAAACGTTACGGGAACCGTGCCGCGTGAATCATCGGGCAGGATGTCCTTTGCGTTTTGTGCCACATTCTCTTTCTCCCCCTCTTCCTTTCCGTTCTTCCCCTGCTATCATATCCTGAAGTACGTATGGTTTGTACGTACATTTCGAATATTAGTCCCGACGAGAGCGCATTGCCTCTTCTCTCTTTTAGAACTGACAGACGCGTGTACACATACGTATACACTGCGATAAGTTGACTGTTGACCAGCGACAATAATTACTCACTGAGAATCGATAAGTGTCGGTCGTGTCGATGATCTTCGACCTCGGATACACGTTCGAGCATCCTCGTTCGGTACACTTTTATTCACGAAATGCTTTCCCGTTTGATTTGCGCACTTTAATCTAATTAAAAAGTATCTTTCAAGTCTTAAGACTTATATCTATGGGAATTTTGTTTGAAGAGAGAAGAATCGCATATCTATTAATAGAGAAAAATTCACAGTGGTCGAAATGATCTCAACTAGGAATTTGAAAACAGAAACTGATCGTTATTTACGCGTAATCACTGATTTAGCATCTTATCACACGTGTACTATTCTTATAAACTGTTCTCATTTAATTACATTTTTTATCGTATTGTTTTTTTATTTTTTTACGTTGTTGATACGAGGAAAGATTGCGCACTTTCAGAAGACAGACAAGTGGATAAGTAAGTGCAAGACGTATCAACGCAATATTCTTATCTATTAAACTTCCCAGTTCTATATTTGTTAGATACGGGGAATGCGTTTACAAAGCGCAGAGATCGGGCATTTACTTATAGCTAACTAAGTATCCCAATTTTTATGCGTCTGCTATCACCGAGGGATTCAGAGACACTACTGTGAGCGTGTGTGTTAGCGCGAAATAAAATCGTTCATACTTACTCAACATCTGCAATCCGAACATCACGAGGAAACCGACGAGGATCGAGAGGTACTGCCTCAACCCAGTGCGATGCTCCTGCAAGATCTCGAAGAATACGACGTACAACAAAGTTCCCGACGCCAGTCCCTGCAACGAGAAGAAGACGATAAGGAGAGTTTTCCCGTTTACATGCCGCGCAATTGCTGGCCAGTTCATAGATTATGCGGAATCCCAAGCATTCTTTGAATATCAAGTTATTTTTTCGATACGCGTATTACGATCGTTTTATTGCAATTTTCTCTTTCATTAAATTTCCCCTGAAAAGATTGAGAGGCTTGCCTGCAATATCACTGCCATGGGTCCGCTCGCGGCTGCGCTGCTGCCGCCGACGAGTGCCATCCCGATGCCGATTCCTATCGGCGACACCACGGCGAACGTGCAAGTATAAATCACGGACAGGTACGTTCTGGTTCTGGACGCGATCAGTTCTACGCCTATGCAGAATGCTATCACAAATTTATGAGACGCCACTGCGAGGAACATGTACCTACGAACGAAATCATGTCGTTTGTCATATTGCCGATTCTTCGTTTCCGGTGGGATACTAAAGTGCAATTCATTATTCAGCTAATCTATAATAAAGTATCTTAATCTCTGCATTTATTTAGAAAATTTATATCAAGTTTGGTGCTCGAATTCAAGTTATGCCAATAAAATTGGTATGATGCGATACAATTGAAAAAGTTTTTTCGTCACGCTCACAGATACAGAGCAATTGCGAAAAGAATGCTACATTCATAGTGTGGGGAGTTTGTCATTCCTCGCCTTAAACGATTAATTTAGAGCACGAGCGCGGCTCGAATTAGGAATTGAAGACACATTCGCGATGCAATTACCAGACGTGACCGGCTGAACTCTCTAAGCCGATGGCCAGGCCTTCGAAGAGCTCGTGGACTGATAAGCCGAGCACTATTAATAATCCTCTGAGCGACGTGATCACGAAGTCATCATCCATTATCGCCGGTAAATGGCTGTGGCCCCTATAAATTAAGAGAAGATGAAGTTTCGCGCGGTTTCTTCACGCCGTCGAAGTGTCATCGGCTCGACAAACATATAAAGCGATTGATAAAGTCGGGCGCAAACAGGCTTACGCGTGTGCGTGACTGTTGTTGGTGCACGACGGTGTTTGACCATTCTCCACCAAGTCGTTTGTGCTAAAATTCACGTCTTTCTTGATGGTTACGTCCCGGTCTGCTTGTCGCTTCCTGAGATACGTATGCACGGACTCTTCCACCAGGTACATAATGAAAAACCTACAAAAGAAATCCGTGGTAATTAATTATATAATCCTGAAGCTCGCTGATTCAGCGATATTTGCAAATTCGACGCCGTAATATATACAATTTTCATTACACTTCAGCTTACATGCCAAGGAGTGGGACTTAGTTTACAATTATATCCTTAACACTCTCATTCATCCCTCCATTCCTACCCCGCAATCTAATACTGCCTACTCTGTACACATCAATATAAACCTACTCTTCTCCTATCCTATTTAACTTATCCTAGTTCCATTCTAATTATAATGCTCCATCCTTCTCTATATTCCTTCCTCCATTTGCCTTTTGGTATTTATTCCTATTCTTCTCCGCCCATCTTATCGGACACAGTATCAAGTTCCCGTACCAAGATGCTATTTTCCCAGATAATTTCGTTCCTTTACTTTTACCCGTGTACCATCTTTGCCTTCCTTCTTCCACCTTTTCTCCTTCCTCCTCTCTTCAAGCTTCTACAGAGTAGAGTCCCTGTAGTTAGAATCTGGACAGAGTTCTAGTTCGACAAAACGTGTCGTCATATAGTCTGTTCGTTATCGCTGTACTGTTGAACTAGTGCAGTTAGTTAGGGCCTGAGCAGAATGGCTGTCTTGTACTCTTAAGACGTAAGACCGTTATTGTGCGTTACCTCAAGACAAAGGCTCAAAACATAAAACATTGTCTTAAGGCTGTCTTAAGGGTATAAAACAGCCATTCTGCTCAGGCCCTTAATTGTACTAGTGCAGCAATGCAGCGATAACGAACAGTCCAAAGATAGCCATATAGAAGAAATAATAATAATACCGCGTTCAGAGTACAGATTCGAGACACTTTATTGATTCTGCCATATTTCGTTGAAACCAATAAAACGAAGGACATTTCTATCCAGACTCTTACTACGAAGAAGTTTTTCCCAGTCCTATCTTAACTTCTTTGCCTTTCTTTCTCTTACCCTTTGCCTATTCATATATCTTTTCCTGCGCTTTTCTTTCTTCCCACGACAGAACGTTTTCTATAAATATCCTGCTACCTTTCAATCTATTTTTCCCTTTCATAATCTTTCTCTTTTTTCTCCGCCGTTAAGGAATATAATAAATTAAAGTCTCAATAAATTCATCATGTCGTAACTGGATCGAATTAAATGTACAAACAGTTATCGTCATCGCGATTTTAAATTGAGAGTAACGAATAATGATATTTTGCTTCTTACTGAAACGAAAATATCTTATTGGAGAGATATTCCACCTTTGCGGTGGTGATTTTTATTTTATGTTACATCTATACGTAATGACGTCAAAGGACTGACTCACCCGGCGCACGCGAGCATATCTGCCAGTGAAAAGTTGAGCTGCGCCATCTTACCAGACTCAACAAGGTTCTGTATGCCTTCCGCCACTTCTGGTATCAAATGCAAAAACGTCGTGCTGAAGAGAACGCCTCCGCCGAAGCCAAGTAGAATACCCACCAGTTTCATCGATCTACGCACGACAAAGCGGCACTTAATGATTTAACTAGTCAGTTCTGTCGTATTACATCATCGGTCTTAAAGCAATATCGGCGAGACGCAATGTACATCACTCATGTCATTTAAGGATTACAGCGAACGTACGCCTTGAATGATTTCTCGATTCTACTCGGCTTTCCCGTACTTT